GAAAAAAATTTTTTTTTAAAAAAATGGAGAGTTTTTTTTTGTCATGTGACACTCAGGCTGCCCTTAACTTAAAATCCTTCTATCTCGATTTGTTAAGTCACTACAACATTCAGCGTGGAGTGTGAATTTGGATGTTCACTTTTAAAAATATATGACAAGTGTTTGAGAGATGGTAAAGCTCTTTTTTATTGGATATTTTATTTCTTTACATTTCAGATGTCATCCCTTTTCCTCATTTCCCCTGCCTTGAACCCCCTATCCCATCCTTCCTCCTCCTTTTTGCTTTTATACCATTTGAATTATATGCAAGTATTAAGGTCAGTTCTAGGTTGAGGGACTAGCAATACAACAGATGCAAATAGTCAAGGAACAAGCAAGACAATAAACACAAATAGTCAAAGAACAAGTAAGGCAATAAACAAAATTCCGTGAACACTCCCATGATCACTGTTTCTAAGGGCTTATCCAGGATGACCAAAATATCTGAGCAAATTTCCCTATCCTAGCCCAAAGTCATTTTCATGTCTGAAGCCTACTTCCTTGTTCTAGCTTAAAATTTAGATTCCTGCCTGAAATTACTTTTTTGTTCTAGCCTAATATTTAGATTCCTGCCTGAAATTGCTTCTTTGTTCTGGCCTAAGATTTAGATTCCTACCTGAAATTATTTCTTTGTTCTAGCCTAATGTCACATTCCTGCCTGAACTCTACTTCCTTGTCCTTGGCCAATGTCATATTCCTGCCAAGCAGCCCATTTCCTTGTCCTTGGCCCATGTCAGATTCTTGCCAAGCAGCCCGAAAGGCCCTCCGTCTCTCCCCCTTTTTTATTTTATTAACAAGACAACTGAGCCTGTCTTAGGTCGTTCTGACAAGAATACTTTCCTTGCCTGTCATGAAATATGCACTATCAAAAGCAATGCACTTCTGTCTTAAGTTGGTAAGGCTCTGTGCAGAATCTTACCTCTCCTTGGCTTGCCAGCCTGTTAATTTAATAACTCTGTCTGGAGGGTCCATTTTCAGGTTCAAGTCATGTACTTTGGCTGCCAATATGTAGTTGTTAAAGACAAGCTTTAACATGATGGGCTGGAATAAAAGTATTCCCAGGACAAAAAGGGAGCATGATCAAGCTATATATGCCATTCTTGAAGCTTGACCAAAATAGAAATACTGACCTCAGGCCACGGGTAATTTTATCAGCAGTATCTACTGCTCAGCAGAACAGCATTCTTGAAATTCATAAGCTCACTATGTAAAGTTAAAACATCCAGAGAGGTGTTAGAATTATGCCAAATACACTGCAAGTGTCTAAACTTTTTCCTAATTATAGTGACTACCACTGTAAATTTTAGAACTAACATAAATCCAATAGTATTTGGCATGACACTGGAGATGGCTCCTTACCCTTAAATTCTGAACCTCCTTCCTGTAATTTGAATAGGATAAATAGCATCAATCTGTTCTTCCAGATGCCTATCTAAATCCTCTTGTATATTCAACACATTAGTAACATTTATTGCTAAATGATTAACATAGGTAGCTGTCTGAACTTGTTTCAAAGCAATGGCAGAAGCAGTGGTGCTAGCAATTAATGTAATTAAAGCTGTTACACCAGAAATATCAAGCCCACTACCCTCTTGCTTCTGCTCAAAGCCTGATTCATTTCTTCTAGTACTTGCAGACTATTTTTAGAATACCAAGGTTCTGTGATACTCAGGGCAATAAAAAAAAACTGGTTGATAGACCTTCATAACTGACATACCAGATTTCAAAATATAACACAATTAAAAGGTGTTCAATCAGTGCAACTTACGTTAAATACTGTAGAAGAAAAAATAATTTTAACTTGACAATTAAAAGAGCCTTAACACATGTGTTAACACCTGTTTGAAATCCAGATCCTGCCCCAGCTTTATGTCTTGCTAATATAACATCATAGAGAACTGCAGCTAACTTTTATATATATCTCTAAAAATGTCCAGAACCAGACTTCCAAATGAAGACTGTTATTTCCAGTATTCGATTGATTTCTAGACCAGTCCATGATTGGATCTGAATAACTGATCACATTTAAGAATAGTACAAGAGTCATTATAACTTCTCTTTTTGATTTTCTGTTCCACAAGGTCTAAAACCTTGAGGGAAGGCAGCTTGTCCCATCAAGGGTATAGATAAGCAATGGTAGGTCGGGAACATATGTCCAATACAGCTTCCAGTCACCATTGTCAGGGCACTCAGAAGCTCACAGGTCAGCATCATTCTTTGTCCTGGCATAAGCATGTCTCACCCGTCTTTCTGGTGGCCACCATGCTCCTTCAGCATCCTGCAAAGAAAACCACAAATATGCCCTCTTCCCCATATTTAATACCTGATCAGGATCATGTCTTATGCCAGTAAGTGGATCCTTCCCTTTCACCTATGCATAAGTATACCTAGTTGTAGAGGGCCATAGACACTCAGCAGAAAGTTTCTTGGTCCAAATTTTTTTAAAGAAAATTTAAAATAAAAAAATAAAAAGAACATGATTTAAATAAATTTGTGGTTCACTGAATATATCTCCCCCTTTTTTATTGTATGAAGATATCATTTTAAAGTTCCATGGGCCCCTTCCACAGTCTCTTGTCCTTGACCATTATAAGGAATCCCAGTAATATAGGTAATGTTAAATTGCTGCCAAAAAGTCTCAAATGTTCGACTGCGATAGCCAGTTCCATTATCTGATTTTTTTGTTTGTTTTTCTGTTTTTAAATCATTATTGGATACTTTATTTATCTACATTTCAGATTTCATCCCCTTTCCAAATCCACCCCTCCCCCCCAAAAAAAACCCTTAACTCATCCTCCCTCCTCATTTCTATAAGGGGATGCTCCCACCCATCCATCTACTCCCACCTCTCCGCCCTCGAATTCCCCCTCACTGGGGCATCCAGCCTTCAAGGGTCCAAGGCCCTCCTCTCCCACTGATGCCTGACAAGTCCATCCTCCGCTATATAAGATGGAAAAGCTCTTGAAGACCTGAGTTCCAGCCTCAGTTCCCTGTGTGGTCTCATAATCTAGAGATCTCAGTTTGGGTCAGCATCAGGCAGGGATTCTTGGGGATGCTGACCAACCATCCTAGCCAATGAGAAAAAAGGTCTCAGAACAAGCTGGCATCTAGAGAACAACACTTGAGGTTAACCATTGACCAATCCACATATGCACACTTGCGCATGTTCCTGTACCTCATGAAAACACATACACATACCCATGAGCACACAGGAACAAAAAATGAAGAATATGTTCAATGCTTTTCCTATTCTATGATATGTTTTGTAAAATCTTTTGCTTCTGAATATGAAAAACGCTTCTAAGGAACACATAAGTTTTTCTCTGTTGATTTATTTATTGAAGTTAGTTGCTTTCCAAGTTAATATTTCTTGTATTCAATGTTTTATATGTTTGATTCTTTTTGAAATGCCTCATCAGATTTGTGTCTGTGTGCTATTATTGTTGCAGCTTTGTAAATGTAAATTTTTATAAGTCTTGATGTAGAAATTCCAAGGTTACATTATTTCTAGTCTTTAAAATTCATATGTAATTACTTTCCTATTGTTTGACCTCAGTGACAGTGCTGTACTTTACCTACATATATCCTGTGTCACCTGTCATCAAGTCTTCAGTCCTAAGATCCACCTGACTGTTGGGCACCCTTGATGTGTCTTTGTAGATAAGCTTCTGTGCACAGAAGTATGTTCTACTTAAAAGATCTGAGAGGGTAGCACTCACAAACGAAGAATAGTTTGTCCACCTATGAGCTCATGGTTCTTGATTACCATGTTAACTGAAGATAACAAATACATAAGGTGTGTCTTTTAAGTTATTTTTTTAATGTAATATATATGAACCATGATTATGTCAGTCCTGATCCCTCTAACTCATTGTTTTCTCCCACTCCTCAAATTCATGGGGTTTTTCTTTATTTCTGTTATACATACACTATGAATAAATGAAAATGTAATTCTAGTCATGAGTCCATTTAGTATTGCTCATATTTGTATGGCTTTCGGGATAACCACTTGGCATTAGATGACCAATTAAGGGTCCATCTGTGTGGAAGACTGATTACCCCTCTCTTGGCAGTCTTTCAGTACTTGTAGCTGTTCATCTGTGAAGAGAGTGACTCAGGATGATACCCATGCCAACCTCTAGACAACACACACATACCTTAACCTGGTTGCACATAAGCACAAAAATGTAGGAACAATAATAAGAAAGAAATGTCACCATGTTACCAATTGTGTTCATTCAGCAAACAGGAGGTGCTAAATGTATGCCAGTCAGCTTGGAAAAGAAATGTTCTACAGTCCGTTGTGCTATCACTTTATCAACTTCCAGTGGAAAGGGAAAATAATATTGACATCAGTTAGGATAGATACATAAATAAAGATGTTTTGACCCAACTTTTTCTTGTTGTAAGTCAATAAAACCTAAGAATTAAGTTTTTTGTCTTTTTATAAGCCAGTGACCCATTCCCTGCATTCTTTAATAGAAGCAGTCTCTTTCTAGAGTAGACATTTTACAACAGATTCATTTGAATTAGAGGCAGTTCATTTAGCTGATGAGTGAGTTAAATATGCAGACATTTTACTTTGTGCGATACATGTGTAGTGGCATTTAAACCATAAGTTCAAATAATTATGCTTTTAAAATAATGACAAAGTAGCACATTGTTTTTCATTCCCTAATAAAAAAATGCTACCAAATTAATTAGTAGCATAACAGATGATTATAAAAATAAAGTAGACAAAGCTGTTGAAAGCTCATGGCTTCTCAAAGAAAGGTTAATTTTTAAAACACTGCTCATTTTTTTTGAAATGCATTTTTCTTAATTTAGTATTTTAATTTCTTTAAAATGACATTTGGATTGTAATTACCATCTTAGAAGAAATTAAAAATTAAGGTTAACAGGTTGACTTGCCTGGGAATTACATTTAGTTACTAATGAAACACTTTTAAAACCTTTTCTAGAGCCGTTGACTCAATTAGGAAATTTGAGAATGATGCGGCTGTGACGATCCAGAGCTGGTTCCGAGGGTGCCAAGTCCGGGCATATATCAGGTATACAAATTCTGCCTTAGAAACCACTTACAACCCTAAGTGCATGCTGGAGAGAATCACAGGTTGTTCATGCCGCCTTTACTTCAGATACCCTCTTATTTCAATCAACAGTGAAGTCATTAAATTTATAGTGTTCCTATAAAGAGCTACAGAACACTTCTGATAATTTCTTATTGATATATGAAATTACATCTCCCATTTGTAGACCTTTAAGAATTCTCAATATTGTAAGAACATTGACCACACACCATCCTCCCAAAGAAAATTCTTCATGAAATGCAGTTATATCAATGAATTAACTGATGGGACAGAAAAGAGACTGGAGAAGAGTAATCTTGAAATTTCCCAACTTGTTGTTTGACGAAAGCAGTGATATTAAAATAGTGGTTTGCCATTAAGAACTAGGAATAACTATAAGCCTCAGTTTCTCCAAGTGTGAAATCTCAAAATCTTTTGCCAACTGTGGTCGACAACATCCTTTTCTGGCTGAGAAGTGACCTTAAGGTGAAAAAGTATTTATGGTCAAGAAAAAAGTTTGCATAGAGTCAAGCTTGGGAGTCCATATCTATCTGTAATCCCAGCCCTTGGGAGGCAGAGACAGGAGGCTCTCCACATATTCAAGGCAAACCAGGTTTACATAATGAGTTTCAGACCATGCATCAAGACTTTGTATCAAAGAGAAAAAATAAACAAGATAAAATAGAAACAATACAAGAAAAAAAACAAGAAAAAAGATGAAGATACATAGTATCTTCATTTAAATATAACCTTGTGAACTATAGAGACATCTTTCTTTCAATGAGCATGTACTAATAATATCCCTGTTTTCATTCTAGGCACTTGAACAGAGTAGTGACAATTATTCAAAAGTGGTGGAGAAGTTACTTGGGTAGAAAATATTACCAACTTATTGTTGAGGTAAATACAAATTTTCTATTATGCTGACATTTGAATTACACAACATGCTGTAAGATATATGTTTACATGTAGTTTACAAATCCCTTGTGACAAATAATTACTGTTTAAAATGTCCCCAGAAGTCTCCTATGCTGAAGACCTGTACTGCTGCTAGCTTGGAAAATTCTGGGACCTTTAGGAAGTAGGGTCCAGCTCAAGGAAGAAGATCACTTAGAGTATGTCTTTGGGGGGCTATCTTGCTCCAGCCCTCACCTCTATTCCTCCCTCCTTCCTGCTCCATCCTCCCTCCCCCCACCTCCCTTTCTCTGCTTCCTGGCCCTATTATGTGACTGTTCTTTGTGCCTCTGATGTGCACTTCTATCTGATTATGACCTAGAAACAATGGTGTCCACCAAGCATAGACTGAAACCTTAGAAACTATGAGCCAGAGGAAATCCTGTCTGTTAAGTAGGCTTCCTCTGGTTGTACCAATGCATAGAAGATAACACAAGGACAAAATCTGAGCTTAATTTTGAATGGAGACTTTCCTGAGAAGCTTTTTCTAATTTTTTTCTAAGTGACTAACTTTATCGACTCTTTAAATTTTTTTTTTTTTTTTTTGGTTATTCGAGACAGGGTTTCTCTGTATAGCCCTGGCTGTCCTGGAACACACTCGGTAGACAAGGCTGGCTTCGAACTCAGAAATCTGCCTGCCTCTGCCTCCCTAGTGCTGGGATTAAAGGCGTGCGCCACCACCGCCAGGCTCTTAACCCTTAACTCTTAACTACAGTAGCTATTTAAATTTTAATATCTTTCACTCTGAGGGCTGGTGAGATGGCTCAGCAGTTAAGAGCACTGGCTGTTTTTCCAAAGAACCAGTGTTCAATTTCCAGAACTTACATGATAGCTCACAAACTATGTAACTCCAGTTCCAGGGGTTCTAATACCATCACACAAACATACATGCAGGCAAAAAAAAATGCACATAAAAATAAACAAATAAAATAAAAAATACCTTTAACTGTGCATTTAGTAGACCTCTGTTTCGATGAGCCTTTATATGTTCTAGTGAGGTCTTTGCAAGCAGGCACATAGCCTGTTCCAGGATCTCCCCCATTATCAATGAATGGTTCCCTGACAGTCAATAAGCTCATAAGGATGTTAACTAGGTAAACACAGACGTGGCATCCCTCCATACTCCCCGAAGTACTTTCTACAAACTTTGTTTTATAGATAAATGAAATTTTAAAAATCAATAAATAAGGCTAGTTAGAAGGCTAAGAGGCTAAAGCTCTTGTCCCCAAGCCTGATGACCTAAGCTCAATCTCCACAACCCACATGGCGGAATGAAAGAATTGATTCCTACAAGCTGTTCTCCACACACCTGCCATGGAACACATATATAAAAATAAACAAACAAACAAATGTAATTTTCAAAACTTTTAAAGAAATTATTTTAAATTAATAACTAATAGTGCCAAGATGGATTTCGTAGAGCATTTGCATATTTATACATATATCAGTATGTATTTGCAATTAGTTTTGATACACAGCAAATGATTTCATGGTGTCCTTTTGCTGGTTGGTATTTAACAAGTGCTATCTGCCAGGCATTTTATATATTCAGAATGTTCTCTAAAACTTGGCTTTTACAATATCTATTTGGCATGTCACAAACACAAGGAACAGGCATGCGCATGTGTGCTTGGCATCATAGTTTGCATGCCTAACAGTTGTAGGCTGTTATGATTGTTTTACATGGTGTGACAACTCTGGTCATTGATAACATCCTGCACTGAACTTCATCATGGACACACACTATGTCTCATTACACTTGTGTTCTCCCACTAAGATGCTTTGGTACATGATTTCTTATGAACATTTTTGTGAATGGATAGTGAAAACTATTTTTTTAGTGCATTATTGCTAGTCCCTTTATTAAGAGGCAGAAATAAACTGGACCTATCTGGACGTCAGTCCAATTACAGTGTGTCTAACTTCTTTCATCTATCGATTTTGATGAATATACTGTTTGAAATACAAGCTTCTGAATTAAGGAATCAAATGCCTGTCTATGTGTTTAACATTTTAGATAGGAAACTTTGGAAAGAATATTTTGAATTCCTTGGGTGTTTCACCAGCCAGGCCAGGTATTTTCTTTTTCTTCTTTCAAATTGAATACTAGGCATTTTGGTATCTACTTTTTGTTTAGAATACATATAAATAACCCTTAATGTTCATTTAAACATGACAGAGGCAGCATTCTACTTGTATCTGAAGTTAATTCTGCATCTGGGTTTTTTCCAGCTTCTGGCTATTATAAATAAGGCTGCTATAAGCTTAGTGGAGCATGAGTTCTTGTTATATGTTGGAGCATCTTCTGGGTATCTGCCCAGGAGTGGTATAGCTGGGTCCTCAGGTAATACTATCTCCAATATTCTGAGGAACCACCGGACTGATTTCCACAGTGGTTGTACCAGCTTGCAATCCCACCAACAATGGAGGAGTGTCCTCTTGTCCACATCTTTGCCAGCATCTGCTGTCACCTGAGTTTTTGGACTTAGCCATTCTGACTGGTGTGAGGTGACATCTCAGGATTGTTTTAATTTGCATTTCCCTGATGACTAAGGATGTTGAACATTTCTTTAGGAGCTTCTCAGCCATTCAGTATTCTTCAGTTGAGAATTTTTTGTTTAGCTCTGTACCCCATTTTTAATAGGGTTATTTGGTTCTCTGGAGTATAACTTCTTGAGATCTTTCTATATTTTGGATATTAGCCCTCTATCGGATAAAGGATTGGTAAAGATCTGTCCCCAATCTGTTGGTTGCTGTTTTGTCTTATTGACAGTGTTCTTTGCCTTACAGAAGCTTTACAATTTTATGAAGTCCCATTTGTCAATTGTTGATCTTAGAGCATAAGCCATTGGAGTTCTGTTCAGGAACTTTTCCCCTGTGCTCATGTGTTTAAGGCTCTTCCCCACCTTCTCTTCTATTAGTTTCAGTGTATCTGTTTTTATGTGGTGGTCCTTGATACACTTGGACTTGAGCTTTGTACAAGGAGATAAGAATGAATTGAATTGTGGGGTTTGAGTATGAGTGTAATTGTAGCTTCATAGAACGACTTGGGTAGTGTTCCTTCTGTTTATATTTTGTGGAATAGTTTGAAGAGAATTGATATTAGGTCTTCCTTGAAGGTCTGATAGAATTCTGCACTAAAACCATCTGGTCCTGGGCTTTTTTTGGTGGTGAGACTTTTAATGGCTGCTGCTATTTCCTTAGGGGTTATGGGACTGTTTAGACGGTTTATCTGCTCCTGATTTAACTTTGGTACCTGGTATCTGTCTAGGAAGTTGTCCATTTCATCCAGGTTTTCCAGTTTTGTTGAGTATAGGCCTTTGTAGTAGGATCTGATGATGTTTTGAATTTCTTCAGTTTCTGTTGTTATGTCTCCCTTTTCAGTTCTGATTTTATCAATTTGGATACTGTCTCTGTGCCCTCTGGTTAATCTGGCTAACGCTTTATCTATCTTGTTGATTTTCTCAAAGAACCAGCTCCTGGTTTTGTTGATATTTTACATTGTTCTTTTTGTTTCTATTTGGTTGATTTCAGCCCTGAGTTTGACTATTTCCTGCCTTCTATTCCTCTTGGGTGTATTTGCTTCTTTTTGTTCTAGAGCTTTTAGTTGTGCAGTCAAGTTGGTAGTGTGTGCTCTCTCCAGTTTCTTTCTGCAGGCACTTAGAGCTATGAGTGTTCCTCTTAGCACTGCCTTCATGGAGTCCCACAAGTTTGGTATGATGTGTCCTCATTTTCATTGAATTCTAAAAAGTCTTTAATTTCGTTCTGTATTTCTTCCTTGAACAAGTCATCATTGAGTAGAGAGTTGTTCGGTTTCAATGTGCATGTGGGTTTTCCATTGGCTTTGTCATTATTAAAGACCAGTCTTAGTCTGTCCTGATCTGATAAGATACATGGGACTATTTCCATCTTTTTGTATCTGTAGAGGCCTGTTTTGTGACCAAGTATATGGTCTATTTTGGAGAAGGTACCATGAGGTGCTGAGAAAATGGTATATTCTTTTGTTTTAGGATGAAATGTTCTATAGATGTCTGTTAAGTCCATTTGGTTCATAACTTCTGTTAATTTCAAAGTGTCTTGGTTTAGTTTCTGTTTCCATGATCTGTCCATTACTGAGAGTGGGGTGTTGAAATCCCCCACTATTATTGTATGAGGTGTAATGTGTGTTTTGAGCTTTAGTAAAGTTTCTTTTATGTATGTAGGTGCCCTTGCAAAAGACCCGACAAAGAAAGAGAACTTCAGACCAATCTCCCTTATGAACATCGATGCAAAAATACTCAATAAAATTCTAGCAAACCGAATCCAAGAACACACCAAAACAATCATCCATCATGATCAAGTAGGCTTTATCCCAGGAATGCAGGGATGGTTCAATATTCGGAAATCCATCAATGTAATCCACTATATAAACAAACTCAAAGAAAAAAAAAACACATGATCATCTCACTAGATGCTCAGAAAGCATTTGACAAAATTCAACATCCCTTCATGATAAAAGTCTTGGAAAGGTCAGGAATTCAAGGCCCCTACATAAACATAGTAAAAGCAATTTACAGAAAACCAGTAGCCAACATCAAACTAAATGGAGAGAAACTTGAAGCAATCCCACTAAGGTCAGAAACTAGTCAAGGCTGCCTACTCTCCCGCTACCTATTCAATATAGTACTGGAAGTCCTAGCCAGAGCAATTAGACAACAAAAAGAAGTCAAAGGGATACAAATAGGAAAGGAAGAAGTCAAAATGTAACTATTTGCAGATGATATGATAGTATACTTAAGTGACCCCAAAACTTCCACCAGAGAACTCCTAAACCTGATAAACAACTTCAGCAAAGTGTCTGGTTATAAAATCAACTCAAATAAATCAGTAGCCTTCCTCTACATGAAAGATAAACAGACTGAAAAAGAAATTAGGGAAATGACACCCTTCACAATAGTCACAAATAA